ATGGGACCACAGTCAGGCTAAAAATGATTTGTTGCTCAGATGAAGATCAGTCTCAGAGGCTGTGAGGTTTAAGAGAGCAAGCAGTCAGTCAGAGCTCAAAATGGTCACAAGTTCTTCGTTGCAAGGTAATGTATAACTTTCTAATCCAGTGGACAGTTGCCACAAAGTTTATCTTGCTATTCTAACCTATCACCTTTACTTAATTGTACTGTACTGCAGATACGTTTATCCAGTGGGCTACTATCTCTCATATACACATATGCTTCTATTATAACATCTGAACTCTTAGCTTACTCTATACAATTAAACCCCCACATTATAAACCCTTCACCATCTTCTCAATACAGTTTCTCACTTACTTAAGGCATATTCTTAGTTACAACTATAGAAATATAATTTATAATTTTTCTGCCTAATGTCTGTGTATTTTATTTTTACATTAATCCAAGCTTCTTCCAAGGCTGCAAATCAAACCTTCCTGTGTTTGTAGAAGTTTCTATCTTTCCATTTCCCACAATAGAATAGTTCCAATAGCGTAAGACCTACAATGCTCAGCCCAAATGCCTGAACAATTCAGGAATGACCAAAAGTTAAAGCATGTTATTACAGGCATTGTAATACAATGCTTACAAAATGTTGAGAAAAATAAAATTTGCCTTCATAATAGTCCCGTACTGCCTTAACATGAAGTCCCTTGTGCATATCAAAACATGAGACATTTTTAAAATAAATGCTGTTCTAAACTAAATAAGCTTTCAGAAGTCCTAGAATAGGACCTTAATTATAGGCAGGTCTCAAACAGCAAGGTTTTATCCAGGCGTGACTGTCTTCTCTACTTTTCTTTAGAAAAGGACTGAATTTAGAAAGATTCTTCCCCACTCTTACCTCCATTTTTCTCTCCATGAATAAGGACAGGATTTTGTGAGGATAAGTAGCTCTGAAAATGGAATGACACTTTGTCTGTCCACAAAGGAACTGGTGAACAAAATGGTGAACAAAACGCTGATAAATAATAAACCTGTTTCATGTTGTCAAGCCAGGTCTATTTCTGTTCTGCTGCTTCTGGAAGAAATTAATTTCTTCTCCCAAATCAGGGCATTGTTCTGCATTATCTTACAGCTGGAAACATTTGTCTTATCCTATTTGTTATTTATCTAGCTTTTGTTACTGCTATGAACACTGATCGATGTATAAAATAGAAACAGTCACTGACACAAATGTGTTTTTTGAATGGTAAACATATTCCTTGATTCTGGTTGTAAAACCCTATTAAATAAGATTTTATAAAGTAAGAAGTATTATAGTTCTAGTAGAAATGTATTTGGACTGCATCAATCAGGGAAACAAATATTCTTCTAAATGTAAGGATGCATTTTCTACCAGTCATTGTACTTAGCTTCAGGCTTGAATGCTGATGCTGTAAACTATCCCTTAGATTTGCTATATCTGTGGTATGTTGTCCTGAGGTAGTTTGAACAAAAACTTTTGATGAAAACTGGGGAGCCAGACCTTTGTCTTTGGGCACCTGACTGTCTGATTGCTTGTGTGAAGTGTGACAGTAATCAGGATGCAGATAAATCTGCTGAAACTGTGTTTATATATTGGTAGGGGAAGATTTTGGAGATACTGGCTGTAGACAAAGGAAAGATCTATTGAGCTGTATTCTCTGTCAGGCTTTATTTTGTAGAGGAAAAGGTTTATTCCACAGCTGTTGATACACGAAGCATCATGCATTTGATTATAAGTAAAGCATCCCCTGCTTTCACCTGATCATTTTCCCATGAAGACATGAATCATCTCCCCCTGTGAAATGATAAAAAAAATCTGAGAAAATAATGTACAAAATCTCTGCCATAAACCAGGAAGGGTTTCTGCAAGCTAGAAAGCCTAGCTTGTTCATCATGTTCGTAAACATGATTGAAAAGTTAAGCCTCCTATAAGAACATCTAGAAACACAACAATATTTTTGAGATGGAAGTTTTTTTGCTCCCTAGCAGTGAAAGCCTTCTTTTAATACTCTCTCCTCTATATGTCAGCATTTCTTAGCTATCTTCTCCTCATATGACCAGATATTATCCCAGAGACTTGGAGCTACTATTATTTGGAGAAAATTTGTACACATGGCAGAATTGGATTGGAACTGAGATTGCAGAATAAGATCTGCAGTTACAGCTGCTGTGCCAGGAATGTGTTTGTGGGCAAGGCTCACCATTATATGCAGTCCAGCTGCCGCAGTTTCCACATTTTCCTTCACTGTCTCTGTGCTCAGGTTGCGTGTGTGTCGCTGTAACTGAAGCCTGAACTTTCCAGTATTAAAATCAGTTCTGCCCACTATATCTTCAGTTAAAAAAAAAAAAAAAAAAAAAAAAGAAAAAAAAAAAAAAAAAAAAAAAAAAAAAAAAGAAAGAAAGAAAAAGAAACAAAGTTGTGTTTCAGATTCCCTACATTTTGGGCTGTTCACTGAAACATCCTCTTTCCTGTGTGGTGCTTTTAGCTATATGTGAACGTAAAGTATATAATTTTTCACAAGTTACTGAGTCAAAGTTACTCTAACAGTACTTTCAGACCTTGGGGAGTTTTGAGATTATAGATTGTGCTGAGGATACCCAGTGGCTTCAGACATACTTGAAAGACTGAGCATAACAGTAGGATTCCAGATATAGTGCTGTGGCTTTTCTGCAATTTTAGACAAAACCAGACTAAGAGCAATTAAGTTTTTCAGTTGTAAATAACTGCTTCCTTCCTGATATGTGTTTTGTAGACAGTGGATGAAATGTATCTGTCTGCTACATAATCAATAGAATAAAAATCCCCAGCCACTTATTTCCTGTGAAGTGATTAAAATCCACTTAGCATGTAACATGGTCTATGCTGGCCATACTGCTCCTTTGCAGCAATATGTCAAAGTAATGATTATACAGTTTATGAAGTGCTTAAATATAAATGGTCAACATAAATCTTCACAGAGAGTAATTTAATAGTTCTATTCCATTCAGAGAACAAATGTAGTCAAGCTTTGGTTGGCCTTCTCGTAGTTTCCTCCAAAGTTACATAATGTTACAGTTCTTTTACCTTTCTAGGGGTAGCTTTACTTAATACTAAGGAGCACTGAAAGGATGCAGCAGGACATGGTTCTTGTCTGATTGGTGATATGTTAGTGTCACAAAAGATTTGGTTCTGTAGCTTGTGACACCCTCCTTTCTGCTCATAAAGGGGTCCCTGCGGAGAAACAAAAGCTCTGCTGTTTGCTCAGCCATCCCTAATAAACTTTTATATACATGGGTAATAAATGGGTGATTTTTGAAATCTTATTTTTATCAATAGATTAAGTCTACTATCTAGTATTAAATTATTTGCTCCTCATTGTTTGGTTTATTTTCATACAAAATTGAATAATCAGTTTGAAGCCAACAACTTCTAAGCCAAGTTTTCCCTGGAAGAGGCAGAGCAACAGTTTGAAGACGTAGGATTTTTGGACAATCAATTGGAACATTGATGCAAAATCTTGCCTTATTTTGAAGAGTTAATAACTTATATTAAATCAACAGGTAAAGTTGGAAAAAAGTAAAAAAACCACATAAGCTTGAAAAATCTGGTTTTGGAGCTTCAAATCATGGTAAATTTGTCTGAAAATGTTACCACTTACTACTTCTCCCATGGGCACATTATCTTGCAGAAATCAATTGTTTTGGTTTAGGTGGCAGTAGATTTTACCATACATATTTATTTTCCCTGTGATTACATACTATTTTCTTAGATAGTTGAATTTTTTTTTTTAATTAAGACACTGGACTAAAAGCCAGCTTGGTATTTGGAGCATCTGGCATGATTCAGAGTTTGAGTGTTACTAACATGGCTGATGCATTTGTGTTGTTACATTATTGCTGGTTAAGGTGAAAACAAGAATATTTCCCCATTTTTTCATTTTTAAAATAGAAGGTAGTGCCAAAAAAAAAATCTTTATGAACTTTTATGTATATTTTTGACAGCAACATTTTCTTGATTGTTATTTCTTATTGTCATGTTATTTTTCTCTGAAATAAAACAAAATAAGCGCTGATACAATGACAGCCCTTTGGTTTTGATGGAGCTTATTCTTATTTGAAGCCAAGCCAAAATACTGTCTGTTCAGACTTGAACACAATTCCAAAACATCTTAAGGAAGTTCTGATGATACCCAGTCATCTTCTGAAGACCACATACCATAGCATTTTTAAAAGATGTTGGAAATAATAAAAAATAATAAAGAGACTGTTGATTACAGAATAAACAAATTATTTAATAGACTCCTCCCTTTTTGCTGCTTTTTGTTGACATGATATTAACACCTCATTTATTTATTGTTCGTCTTTTCATTTTCCTTTAGACATCTCTCCTCTTCATACAGAATAAACTGCTGTATGTGTAACATGAAGTGTGCAGTATTTAGGAATATTGGCAGTGTGTCAGACAAAGCTGTGTTCATATGAGAAAATGCCCTTGAATATCTACCACGATCTATTGATTGACATTTGTTCTGGTGCTTGCAAAACAGGTATTTGAAGCCAATACACAAAACAGCACTTATTTTCAAGTCGATGTGCAAAGCATCAAATCCTAAAAATCTATCTAAAGCTCTGACTTTGCAGGATATATTACTTGCAAGTAAAGCTGATTAACTTGGGAAAGAACCTAGGCATTCTCTGATTTTAATCAGTACCATCTCATGGGCAAGTATCTTGTTTAGCAATTCACTAAACCTAGCAGCCACAGGCCTGTTAGTCCTAGAGAAGAGCCTCCCAGGGTTCAAATAAACCATGAATGCTTTTCCTGTCTTTCACACTAGAAGAGTGAATATCTTGGTTGTTCATTCTTGTATCTCTGTAAATTAGGCTCAAAGCCAGGTCGAAGTATTTATTGTAAAGGAAAATAAAATTTTCTTGTTTGATCATCATGTTTATCTTTTAAGTTTTTGGAAAAGTACCTGTGGGTCTAAAGGTGTTCTCTTATTGTCTTTCTAGTTCAATTTTGTTGGGAAATTGCTTGGACCAAGAGGAAACTCTTTAAAGAGGTTACAAGAAGAAACAGGTGCAAAAATGTCCATCCTGGGAAAAGGATCCATGAGGGATAAAGCTAAGGTACTGTGTCTGGACTCTGGTTGCAATTAGCATTGAAACATATGTTGTTTTAGGTTTTACACTTAGATTGTCTGTTTATTAATGACTCAGTTAAAAGGCCTATAATAGACTCTTGACTCCAAGGCTAGTTTGTTTTTTCAAGTTACATCATTTTCTTAAATATAATTTTTTCTTGCTTTGCCAACCTTGCTTAGACCTTCACAGTTGCTATAGTATCACTGTTATTGAAATAATTCACCTAAAAGATAAACCAGTTTAAAGTTCATTTGTTCTGAGAGAGATCTCTCTCCTGTGAAAGTACAGCTTGTAATTACAGTATTGCTGTAATATTGATGTACATAAATGAGTTTTTTGTTTTCTGTTTCTTTAGAGACAGGGCGTTTTTAATATTGAATATTTATTTGGGGTATAGTTCTAGGAGAAGATAACAAAGTGGGCATTTTGCTTAAGTGTGTGTAAAAATGCACTATAGATAAAGAAAAAACAAGCTGTTTGGAATCACAGCCTGGTTAATGCCACCAAGTAATTACTTGGAGGTAAGTGTTACTCCTCCTCAGCTAGTTCCCCACCAAGTTTATATACTGAACATGATGCTCTGTGGTATGGAATATCCCTTTGGCCAGTTTGGGTCAGCTGTCCTGGCTTTGCTCCTCCTGGCTGCTTGTGCAGCTCCTGACTGGCAGAGCATGAGACACTCAAAAGTCCTTGGCCTGGGGTAAGCCTCAGTTAACAACATCCCAAACATTAGTGTGTAATCAGTATTATTCTCATACTAAATCCCAAACACAACAGGGTACCATTTACTAGGAAGAAAATTAATCCTATCCCAGCTAAAATCAGGACATTAAGGAACTTTTCACATATATTTGACCAAAAGAACAAGTACTGATTGCATTGTAATATCTTTTAGAGTCTGTAGAACAGCAGTATTATGGTCAACACAAAAATAATGATTGCTAATTTCACTATATTTTACCTGTATATAGCCTCTAGTAATATTGTGCGTTATTATTCTTTCCTTTCTGTCACATCTGTCATTAATCTCAGTAGCTAGAATTATGAAAGCAATAATATGCTGAAATAAAGGAAAGACCAATCAGGATTTTTTGGTTGGCATTATTTGGTCTTGGTAATGTGTATCAGCAATCACATAGAAAATATGAGTTCTGCAATTGCAATATTAAAAAAAAATAACCCACAAACCAGACAAATCAAGCACACAGATTATATTTTAATTTTTCAGAGTTTTCTTTATGACATTTTAGTCAGATATTTAGTGACACTTCAGTTATGATTATAAGATAGTAAATGTTGAATACACTACTGATTTTATTTCCAGGTATTGACAGGTAAAATATTGTAATTACTTATGTCTAACTTCTGGAATCATAAATATTTCCCTGGATAAAAGAATGTATGTCCTGCTAAGTAGCAGTAATTTGCATCAGTACTACATCTGATGCCCAGTCACTCCATTCTCAGCCCCTCACTTAGATTATTATTGCTGAGAGCATCAATTGCTCGGACAAGGGAGTGTAAAGATATTTAAACACATTAATAGATAGACTAAGACTTCTGATTTTCATCTGATCATAATGAACATTGTCATCATGACAGGTACTACATTCACTCATGAGTATATCAACAAAATTTGGGGTATTTTCTTTTCCTCTTCAGAAAGCTTTTAGTCCTTAAGAATAATTTGAAATTGAGTATAACCTTCGTGGAAACTTATTCATATAAGACTGGTGTAAAAAAATGAAGTTCTAGTGTAAACTGGCATTAAATATAGCACTCATGAAAGCAATTTCTGTAGAGAAAGGCTCATAAGCAATTTATCTTAATCCAATTTAGACATTACTGACTCAAAAGAAAACAAAATCCCTGTGCAATTGCAGTGAGAGGTAGGAATTTTCTCATCCATGTACATCGCTGTTACCAGTTCCTGGCAAAAGAGTGTGAGAATAATCATGGGATGGGTAATAGTCACAATTAGCATTTCAGAGAGGCTATTCTAGGTTGAGATACTGGTAAAATGTAAAGAAAATATGTTTGATTGTGAGCATAAATAATGGTGTGAATTGCTACATTGCTGAGGAAAACACAGCTTTCTCTCGTTAAAACATCTTTCTTGTCAAAAAACAAGTGCACTAGTATCATTTATGCAGTACTTTTTTCCTGATTTAAATACAAATTACCAAAGTCTGGAGGCTTTTTGTGGGGTTTTTGAACCATAAAAGAAGTCAGTTTATGTATATTGGCTGATAGATCTTTGTTTTGCAGGAGTATTCAAGAAAGATGGATGTAATTTCTCTCTAGAAACTAGAATTTCCTTAAAGTTGTCTGTAGTATGCCATGAGCCATAGCAGTTCTTAGACAGACTGTGGACTGTGCTTTTCCCCTCCAGTCTGGTGCAGCTGGATGCTGACTTGCATCAGAGAAGCAGAAACAGAATTTCTGCTGAAAAGTGCTGAGTATGTTTATACCCTAGATCCCTAGATATTTAAATCTTCAAAAAGAACTGATCTGCTGATTTGAGGTTCTTTAGTGCCAAAATGACAACAGGGAAGTTCTTGGCTCAACAGTGAACTGCTCTGGCTATAGTCAGTAATTTTGGTCAGAGGGCCAGTTTCCGTGTCTGGGAAGTGGATTACATCAACGGAGGTGTGTCTGTTCTTCAGAATTTTCTCATCTTCTTTAAAGAAACCTATGGGTAAATTTCAGAGATTAAAGACTTTAGGCTGTTTCCTTCCAGAGCTACAGTGAATACTTGTTAAGAGTGACTTGAGATTTCTGAGTATCTGCTGTGCCTACAGTGTGGGAACAGGATATATTCATTTGAAAAGGCAATGCAATATGTTTTATGAACAGTTCCAGTTGTGCACAAAACACCACAGAACTAATGTATGTCACAGAAAGTTGTGTTAGAAGTTACTGAAGAGATGCCCAGGTATAACCACATCAGTAGTTTGTTTCTATTTTAAAGAATATTTCTATATTAAAAGTGACCTAAAGTAGCCTTTTTGGAAGAGCAGAATAACCTAAGAATAATAGAATGTTTTAATTTTGCTTAAATACTATATTAAGTGTTAGACAAAGAAAGATATTTGGTTATTTTTATTTTGTTAAAAAAAATGAAAAATAGTTTTTAGCCTGCAAATCTTTTCCTGAAAACTCATTGTTCATCACCTGCAAGACATTTGGAAGACTGATCAGTTATTTAAACTAAAGGGCAGTTAAACTAAAGCATTTTCTTTGCTCCAAACATATTTTTGAACCGCGTTTTACTTGCATAGAGTAGGATTTGGAAATTGATGTCCTGATAACAAGGTTATATATTGGATTAAAAAAAGCTAAACCATTGATTTTTACAGTTGCACATGAGCTGTTAGACACGCATGAAGGAGAACATAAGTCACAGTGTTTGCATTAGATCTTCTGCATACTGATGTATAATTGTCATTCCAATTTAAAACTTTTTTACTTAAAGAAATCCTGTCAACACCATTTCCTATTTTGCACACTATCTGTTTATTACCCATTTCTCTCATCACTTAAACTTGCACTTATTTATGTAATTTGTCCTGGCTATTGAAAAGTTTCTGTTATTAAAAATTCATGTTGTCTTCCTATAAAACATGAAAAATTAGAGAACAAACTTGCACTGCGGCTTTGAAAAACCACATAAATTACTTTTCTGTGCTCGGTGCTTTAACAGCTAAAGCACTAAAGCACTTTTAACTGCTGCCTCTTCAAGTTTCAGTTTTTGTTATAACTAGTTCCTAAGGAAAGAGGCGATAATTGCAGTTGAACTATGCGCCTTTCTTTAATCTGTGGGTTAAATGGTTTCCAAATAAGGTCCACTGTCAGTGGACAGCAGCTTGTCCTGTTAAACAGAATTTGTTTCATTATCTTTTCTTTATGAGAAAAAACAAGCATTAGGAGCTTGTTTGCAACTAAAAAGATCTGAAATGAGCACACACTGAAATTACTGAGATGCATTTATTAGCATGTTGGCTTTAGGTTGGTTTTTAGCAGCTATGTTATATAAGTGCCTTAAAAATATTTTGAAAATATGGGATACTTGCAGTGTGCACTGGTCTCTTCCCTACAAATTCTAAGTGCTGTGAGGTCAGTCCTGCAACGTTTAAATAAATGTTTCAATATATTACAGGATTAAGTCCATATGCAATGTGAATAGTGCCCAGTAGGTTTTTGGTTGGAAGCACAATGGTTTTTTTTCATTAGGTCGTATCTACCATGGGTGTAGTGTCCTAATAGTGGAAAGTTAGTTCCCTGATAGGATTCTCTTGACTTTGTTGTTTTTTTTAAAAAAAACGTTAATTAAATTAATGCTCAGATAGCCCAGAAGGGAAGAAAAAAAGTTGCAGGTTTCGTCTATAAGATGCTATGGTCCAAGCATTGAATTATATTCTTTCCCAATGCTATTGCTTCACTGAAATGTAAGATCAAAGGTGTTGTCTTTAGTGTCCAGAGTTTTAAAAGCTTTTGAGTATCACTGCCTGTCAAAATGTTTAAGGTCATGCAGTATAGGTACATATGCAATATTTTTTCCAAGTGAGAATGTCAACATTCTCAACAAGAATGAGAAGTTACAAAAGACTTTAGAAAGTCTTTAAAAAAAACCCCAAACAAAACCAACCAAAAATCACTTAGTGGTCTGTTGCACCAGATTTTATGCTGGTGTTGCTCCAGCTGTGCCTGTGAGGTTTCTTGCTCTGGCTTATGGCAGTGATAGTTCTGCTCAGTGTGTTACCAGTGAAGCGATATGCGGAATAAATAAATAGACTCCACAACCTGGGGTAGTTATGAAGTGGGTATGTATTGCCAGCGCCCGGCACAAGTGAGATATCTCTCCAAAAACTTGTGCCCCGAGCCTCAGTCTGACCCACACTTTTATTCCCAAAGGTGTTCCATATGCAGTACATTGCACAACTTTTCCATGCATATTCAACCCCTGGCCCCGCCTGTCCTCGCCT